CAGACAGTTAACAGACCTTACCACTTGAGGCTTGACGTTTGAGACAGCGACTCAATTTTACATTACTGTGTGTGTGCGATGGTCGTATATTCGCCTGCATCCAAATCAAGGCCAATGCTTGCACGTGTACACGCGCAAACACACATGCACACAGACCGATAAAAGAAACCACCACACAGTGGAAGCGACATTTGTGGTTTGAAGTGGCTGCGGTGCGGTTTCCGTTCGTGATTGGCGCGACGTTCAGGCGATTGCCATGTTGTGTGGTGACGATGATATTGCATATACTCTGAAACCCTTATTCGATGTCCGCTGTTGGAATAAGTCATAATTTTGAAATGACTCTGGCTTACATACTCTCTTTCGTTTTTGCTTGAAGTTCTCTCGCTTAGAAAATTATGTAGCCTACACATTTTTTAGTTTTAAAAACGAAGTAGCACTACCGATACACATGGTACGTGTGAATTTGGATTTGAAATGGCAACCAATTTGCAACTCCACATCTCAAACACAGCAAATGATAACTTTTTTGTTGGTAGTGGAGAAAGAAGTATTCAAGAAATAAGTGGCGGTCACTTTAACCCACACATTTGAGTTCTTTCAGAGAATGATACCTTTTCAGGAAATACAAAATTTGCTCCATTTCCGGTTCAATGCCTTCGTCCCACGTTCACATTATTGTGTTTACCTTTGACCTGGCCCTTAGTTCAGAAGGTCTTGTCAATACGTTTTATTAAAACTGTGTTTTCAATGACCTGTTTGCTGTGCAGCGTCCAGTATTGCAAAGTTATGGTGATTTTTTTGAAGTGGAAGTGTGCGCCAGATGGGAATTTAAATTCTGCTGTGTTGGGCAAAGCAGAGCTGACTGAGATAAATAGATATCTTACAATAAAAAGCGCACCACATAAAATTACATTTTGTTTGATCTTATTTTTATCTCTCGTAGGAGCTAAGGTGGCATCTATATCATGCGCTACCGTTATTACATGGCCTGAAGCAAGACCCAGAATCAACGCAGGCAGGCTTTTAACTCAGAGGCTAAGGGCTTGTTGAGAGGATGAAAGAGAGACTTACATGCTTCAGCATGCTCTTTTGTAGTTCATGATACTATGACCAAACAAGTTATTCTAGATTAACCTTATCGCCTTGCTCTCCTAGGATGAACTTCATCTCTAGTGCCAATGCTTGAGGTGGTACTACAAGCACACATACTTATCTAGTGCTAAGATCAACGGGGTAAAGTCAGACGCGGGAGAACCTCGGAAATGCATTTGGCTGATAGTTAATTTGCTTGACAAGCCTACATTACGCCTCCAAGTAACTGCCTTGCAGTTTGAGAGGTCACGCTTCTCGCCAGGACTACAGGCTATTAAAACGATTCTACTTTTTCCAACTACTCTCTACTTTCTTCTAATATGTAAAAAGGGGATGCCAGCGGATGATCTTAGTGGTGACTAGGATGGTCAACCGAATATGCCATAGTATTAAAGTGAGTCGCTTACTCGGCAGCTGCCTTAGAGATCTAGAGCAAATCTCGTAGAGAAAAGGGAATCGCCTGATCTGCAATTTTTGTACTTCCAACTCGTTTGGTATTCCTCGTAGTCATATTGAGCAATCTGAAGTGTCCCGTAGTTTTTATGCCACGGATTCGTTCAGATCTCCCAGATAGCTACTCACGAGAGGCGTATAGGAAGGTTCACATATTAACCGATGGAGGTAAATTACATCTTCGAAAATGCAATCTACCACATCCAGTCGAGCTTAAACCTTGACATCCAGCATGGCAACTACTTAGACAAGTTGCGATGGCTCACAAATCAATGAAAAAAGGGGCTTAAAAACCTTCAGAAAGTTCATTATTCCTTTTCCTCTTCTTACTGGAAGCGTTGGGAAGTTCTTACTTGAGAATAGCCACAAACTTGAGGAGAGAAAAAACCAAGAATAATTTGTGATCAGAGAGACACCCTTTTATTCGACACCCACAGGAAATCGTGCGCGTTTTTGATGTGTGTGTGTGTGTGTGTGTGTGTTTGTGCCATGAAGCACCAACGCAAGTAAACATGTAAGCAACAATGGTCGGGATGGACCAACTCGGAATGGAATACATCTAACAAGCTAATGATAAAGGATTTCTTTGACGTCCAGGATCAGTCAATGAGTCGGAAAAAACCCCGTTTTTCAAGGACCAACCCAATACTCTGGAGGGAGAAGGTAGTATCACCTAATCTCACCTTCTGGGTCTTGATGGTGGCTTCTTTTGAAGCAATGTGTTACACCCTTTTTGCTCGTAGCGCAAGACATGCACATGATCAGACAGTTAGCAAGAAAAAAAAGGTTAACTCACCACGTAGGTAATTTTGTTCTCGATTTCTAAAAGGGTACAAGAAAAACCAATTAAAATAACCCTAACGATCAGGAAATATGCCAAAACCAAACCGACTACTTCCGTCACCACCACCATAAACACAGGTCAAACTGCTATTCGCTAGCACACTGCACCACAATAGCACCCGGTGTCGACTTGCGAGGACCAAATCGAAGAAGCTGTAACTGAATTTAGCGGCATGGAGTTGCGACGAATGCGATGTAAGGCGGCCGAGTAGCGGGTAGAAGTGGGTCGACGAAGAAGAGTTCGTTGACTAATCATTCGAGGGGCAGTTGGAAGCCCGTAGATCGTGCTCCATGAACTCGGCTCATAAGGATCTTCAAAATCCACACAGCCAAAGGAAGCACTTGTAAAGGAGCGCTTTCGAAAGGCGTCTCCCCTTCCTCTTCTTGTCGATATTATTCATGATTTGCGCCATAACAGAAAAAAGGGTTCAGAAAGGTGCTATTGAGAGCTGGGTACTTGTTGACATTATACTGACGAAAATCTATTCATATCCTCATGTTGATGATGCAATCATGTTAGATTTTGTGGAACTCGGCAGTTGGTTTTCTCTTGACTCAGAGATCCGATTTTCAGTCAAGAATACTATTTTGACAGTTGGCTAGGGAACTTAGCTATAAAGAAAGGTATGAACACTGATAAAGCTCTAGGTGTACCATAATATGTCAAATTTTAAAATGCCTAAAAATTTTATGCCCTGCTCCTCCCACTCATTCCAGGAGTAACAGAGAGCCAGTATTTAAGATGCTTGGTCTACCCGAAGGCAAAGGGTTTGATCTTCGGTGCTTTCGTTGCGGGCAGTTGATGAATCCTTCGCAAAACGGACTCCGAGGAAGAATCTGATCTAGTCTTATTACTACCTATGACAAACTTAATCCAAAATTCTTCGGAGATTCGCTATAATGTAGAAACCTGGTAATCTGCCTTAACTGTGAAGGGTTGCCTTAGTATTTGCTGCAAATGGAAACAACTAGCGAGTTGCAACAGTTTAATCAGCACTGCAAATAACGCCTACTTCACAGGATTTGGAATCGAACGCCACCCAAACCACACTCTAAATTACCAGCTATGGATAAAAAAGGGGAGTTTTATGAACTTCAAAAAGTGGTCCGACACTGTTGTTACGTTAGCTCTAGCAAACGGAAGTTACCTAAGTATTGATAAAACTTTTGAGTGGGCAAGACCATCTGGAAGAAGGTAGCTATTCATGCGACCCACATAGCAGATTAAAATCCCACTTTACCAATGACTTCAGTGAAGAAAAATCGAACTCTTCCAATCCCTTCAGCGCAGTGGCTTTGACCTCGCAATGTATGACGAAGACACCTTTCCAAAAACAGCTTAATAATGACATTTCTCTACAAGGGTACTAAACACACATCCCATTTTGAAATTTCATTTATCATATTTTAACTAAATACACAATGATCATCACATGCGATCCTAAGTGGGGAAATTGGAACTTCATATACACAGCCATATCTCCATTCTGCAAACTCACCCGCTTTTCGAGACACCAGTGGGTGGGCGAACAACAGACCCCGTAGATCCTGAGGTCTTAAAACTGGGCAGAGTGGACGGGGCATTACCAGAGGGTGACACGAGGTTGGCGGGACGTGTAGAGGCTTGTGAAGGTGGCCGACGGGCGCTGCTGGCAGCGCTGGTGGAAGGCATCCGCGGCATATGACGACTCTGACGGCCCACCATTGTGGCGGTCGGTGTTCGACTCGCTTCGTGCAGAAAATGGAGATTGACTTGAGGCAACACTCTGTACCAAATCTTAGTAACGGAGACATGCGCATGCAAAAGATTGGTTGCAAAACCCGAAGTCCGACAAAACTAACAACATATCGACGGACCAAAAGACGTTATTGGTTAAATGATTATGATCTTAGAATGCAAAAAGGAAAGATCAACTTCACCTTCAAGTAGAAGCTAATTATTGTTTTTTTCCTTTCTAACTGTGATATGATTATGGCAGAGCCGGAAGGATTATGAGAACACTAAACTTAAAAACCTTTAGTCGATAGCCGCCACAACAGTCATAATCAGCTCGCATATGTAGGCGAAAAACTGGAAAAATGCGTGACTACTAAGGACTGCGGATGAAGTTCTAACACTGTCGACGAATGTCATGTGGAAGTAAGCAAAACTTCGTAGTTTTCTTGCTCGAAAAACAATCTGGTTTCATAGGGAGCGTAATGAAGAAGGAAGGTCAAGAATGGGTTCGACCAAAAAGGAGAGAGCGACACATCATGCGATCACCAGAGACAGAAACAGGCATTGAGCAGTTAGAAGAGCAAAAAGACATGCAAAATAAACAGAAAAATTACAACACTGCACAACAGTGAAAGCAGCTGAAGAGTGGAGGGTAGAAAAGATAAGCAAAAAGAGCGCTTTTAAAATAGACGACCGAAGGAAAGTGAGTTAAAAAATTACTGCTAATCATACTTTGCTTGAGCCCAAGAAAAAGAATCGCAATAGAACATTCACGATTAGATTCATTTACTGGTGTACCTTATTGAAGCTGTCACATTCGTAAGTCTATATTTCACCGACTGATGGGAGCAAATGTGTAATAAAACTGCATAAAAAGACGAAATTAGCAGATATAGCAATGCTCTGCAAGCGTAACAATGGCTCCTACTACGAATAACTGGATTCTTTCATCAAAGTATATATGATTCCGCCTCCTTATCCTCCATGTTCAAAGCACTTATAACGCCAGTCAACGATGGGAGAGTGAATGAGGACAAATTAACGTATCCTCCAAGTCAAATCAACACATCAGACAATAATTTACGTAAGTCGTTTAGTTCATAAAAATAACAATGGGATACGCAAAATGGTTGCAATTGGCCCAATGTTTTCCAAAAATATTGAATTTATCTAGTCCGAAAATGTCCCACCAGCCATTGAAATATTTAGAATATAATCAAATGCCTTCAGATTGCGAACCGAAAAAGTGGCGAGATGAATGCGGGCGAATAATTTACCCCTGGACTCGCTGGCAGTACGAGGGACAACACGACTTGATGTGGGCGAATGCGTACCCCGCGACGACTCGAGAAGCTGCACTCGACGTAGGCAGTCCGCCAGAGCGCTCTTTAGACAGATAAGCTCTTCTGCCAAGTCAGTGGTCTGCTTCTCCAAATACGCCATCCGCTCCAGCAGCTCATCTTTTTCAGCTGTCACCAGTCCATCTAAATAAGTTAGCGAGCCATCAAACGGAAATAATGGCAAAAAGTCACAAGTTACAAAGAGTAGAACGAGTGTAAAGCAAACACGGAACAAGAGCAACGCAGCTGAGAATAACCCACCTAATCCAACGGCCCCGTTGGACATTCCGATACTTAATGACCAGGCGGATTAATACGGGGAACTGCTGGGTGACCTTGACAACTAAAAGATAAAAAATATAGCCGAAAATTTCGGCTTTATATTAGGCTACTTTGTGTAGTCAAAATTTTTACTGTTAGGTAAGAACAATCGACTTTCAAAAACTAATTTTTTTTGAAATGTAGTGCTTTGAGACTTTCTATTGTGTGGAAGAAGACATAAAGTGGCGCTGACTATATTTATTCCAAGAAGAATAAAGGAATGAAGTTAGAGCTCGGCTTAAAGGCCATCTAATGCGTAAAACTAACCTTAGAGTAACAGCCGGACCCTCTCTTCTTTTGAGCGACGTCCTCAACGTTTCCCTTAATACAAACCCCTTACCTCTCCCGCGCTAGCCATCACAACATATTTGGTATTGCAAGAATGCACCAAGTCGGTCGCGCCAGTCAATAGCTACCAGGAGGCTGAGGAACAGTACTTGGATCTTAAGTTACGTTCAGTCCGACAGCCAAATTCGGAGCCACACACAGCTGTTGACACCCAAATTCCTTTTGGACTAGGCGGTAGAACTCTGGTCCAAAACAGATCTGTTAAGGGGAAAACAGGACCAGGCACAATCGCGCACGTAAGGGGAACCGTAGGGTCATTTTCAACACCTATACGCGGATGTAGTAGAGGAAATTCCGATACGACACTTTTGTAGACGGTTCATGGTGATGTTGCTTCAGGTATTTATAGCACGAGGACAAGAGAAACTCTAAATCCTTTTTCTGGGAAGAATTCAGAGATTCTCTCGCCATTGACGTAAATGAGCCTACTCCACACCGTAGCTGCATGTAGTAAACGTAGACACCAGGATAGAAGTTGCTAGTAGAGTTGGCTTTGCATTCCGATTCCACTAATGCAGCATCCCGAGTTTTACTGCTGGGAAGACAAAGGTTTAAGCAGAGTAGATTACACGTGTTTTAGGCAGAACAATCAAATTAGACGCACACATACAAGGGCCTGACGATCTTAAGTTGATTACAAACTGTCTGTTGACCACCTAAACAATGTTTTATGGTGATACTAAGCAAATCGTGGGAACAGTTTTGGACAGTTTCAAACCTGTTTTTTCCTTGTAGCAGGGGAACAGCGTACGCTTTTAGCAGATAACGAAGAGCCTAATGATAAATGATCTCTTGAGCGTCTGTTCTCATTATAGATAAAACATCCACCAAACCAGCTTAGCTGCTTAAGTGTAACTGCGTCTTCAAATCTTTAAAAACTATGATGCTCTTTACTAGAGTAGAAACGCCGTACATCTGGCAGAACAAGGTACTAAGTAGGGCTTAATACGGATACCCTAAGAGAAGGGAGTGATTGGGCTTTGGCTTTTGGCCATTCAGATCAAACGAATGATGAATATCTAATTCTTTTAGTCCTATAGGTAGCCAAATCAACTGACCTTACAACACCATCTGATGTGGTAAACTAATAGGAAAAGTGAGTGTTTCGAAAACATGCATTTGTCTAACATTGCTAGGCAGGAAGCTGTCGAACATTATGCCTGACACCGTATATAATGCCAACATACTGCGACACGAATGTTCCGTGATGACCCTCTGCCTCACTTTTTAGGTACCATTACATTAGTTCATTTCCTTCAATATCGATCTCGGTTACACCCACGTAAGTGGGATGGCAAGGCCCGAAGACCAGCCAATTCAGATAGCCAATTATAAGGACATTAGAATAAATAATGCGTTGCCTTCCTCTTCTATTGACCCACGCCCATGTTGTCGATGTTGAAGTCCCTAGTCAGCCACCAAATTCTATGCGTCTGGGAGCAGTAGCTTCAACTGACTTGCTTCTAAAAGGATAGTTCGAGGCAGGAAATTCTGCTAACTACCAAATATGGCCACTGATACAATTGTCCAAAATGGGTTGTAAATGGGGAATGTGGGGCCGAAGACAGTTCCATGCCGAAGGGATGTGCGCAATTTTATGATGCCAAAATTATTATGCAAGTCGAGTATGAAGGACTTTGAACGAAACTTCGAAGTTAAATTAGAGCAGGTGCCACTTCAGCAGTTAACAATCCGCCTGAGGAACAAGAGGATGAAGTGGGTGGCAAATACTCATGCCAATCTTAGCCGGTCCGCTGTCTTTTGCCTGCGCGAAGCACACACTCTCCATCGGCACTGTATAAATTTGTCTCAAATTCTGAAAACTCAAGGAACAGATGTGGTGCCGGTCTTTGGTCCCACACTTACTTTCCCAACGACTTCACAAGATATTTGTAGCATTCCGAGACTTCCCTTAGGGTAGAAGAAAGCAGTGATTAAGGCTGGATACATGTATTCCGAAAGGAATAGAACAAGTGGACCAGAGTGTGGCCCGAAGACCAGCCCACGTGCACAAGAGTCAGACAACTCCTAAAGTGACCACCAAATGTCAGGTAGTCACATAAACAAAGCATCACAATGTTTTTTCGCAAATGGATTCATTCAGCACAATAAAAAATCTGCTGGATTGAGGGGAGAAGAATGCTCACCTTTCGGCATTATTCCAGCCCGTAATCTTAATTCAAAAGCTTCAAGAAAAACAAAACAAACATTATCCTGCCACAGATGTGGAACTAGGAGAACTGCAATCAGAAAAACATAGTAGCTTGCATCTTCTCAAGGCTAACCCACTTAACAAAAACAGGGCTGTCAAAATATAGGGCATTCCATTTAGTTTGAACTGCTTAATTCAATAAATTAGCAGTCTATTTCTGCAACAAACAAAATGTCTAATTAGCGTTACTTTTTAGTTTCAAAAACACTTGGGGCTCACTGTTTTAAGTAGCGATCAAAGGAACAAACCGTGTTAGATCATCTTATTAGGTTCTACTTTCCTCCACAGTGAAGCGCGTTACGTAAAGGAATGGGATCGGCATTGGTCCTGGTTTTGGTACACCTTTGCTGTGTAGTTCCTGTTCTCTGTCGTCGTCATACCCTCACGTTGAAAGTAACTCCCCCTTTTGAATTATATAGTTAGAATGACATTCGTACTGGGGTTTTGTGCAGCCAATTCGCCTACGGACCGGAGGGTTTTCTTGGTGTCTACTTGACTGGCCTTGATCCCGAGGCTTTGGGCAAGGTTATCTCGCTATCGAGATTTTCATGCCTTTTATTTAATTTATGGATTGAAAGTTCTACTAAAGATTTCTAGAGTTTGGTGTATACAAAGATGCCAGTGCCCTGACGTGGCATTTGACAAATATTAGACACCTGCATTTTAAAAATTTCTTGTACGTTCTTTTAACCATTGATTGTCTTTAACAAATGAGTAATGATGTTCTGACTCTACTTTTAAGGTTGGGTTTTCTATGGAGAAGTCCACATCAAACAGTCCACTTCAGTCTTCCGTATGTTCATCGACTTCACGTCATTCAGATTCTTAGAAGCAGAATTTTCGTGATTGCTCAATGGAAAAGTCTTCCGACAAGCAGGTTTTTCGTCTTTATCTGGAGAAGAGGGTGTAATTTGCTATTATTTTCTCGTGTCAACTTGCTAACTTGTATTTCAGAGCCAGGTTGAAGTATCCTCCCGATCCAGCTGTTTTTGTTCATCCTGAAAAGAGCGTTAACTGGGAGCCCTTTGTCTTTCTTGGTACTGAAGATGAAAAAACTCTGCGGACCTTTAAAACCCAAATTGCTAAGTTCTTTTCTATGTACTTGGGTTCGTCCCAAGTTGAATCAGAACATCTGGCTGTTGAAATTATGAAGGTGATTTCATGTTGATTGGGGTCAATTTTATCGTTTCTGAGGATTCGCTAAGAGCATATTTTACTTTGCGATTCCTTCCAGGTGATCACTTCTAAGGACAGCATTCGAAATGAGGTAGTCAACATTTTAAAGCAGAGCATGAGCCTTGAGTTGGCAAGTTATAAGACGCTAGATCACCTGCGTTTATTGGCGGATGGAGGCAAGGAGGCTGACGGTGGCGTATTTGCTAAACTCAATCGCACTCGACGTGAAGCTCCACAGGCCTCTAAATTTGCCGTGATGGATGGAATTCCGGGAAATGGTGCTGATTCTGATGAAATGCGGGGTCAAGATGGCAATCAGAAGGTATTCGCTGTTTCCAATGCAAGTAAATCTAATCAAACTGCCCCATTGAATGAGACTGTCAAACAAAGAGAAGCCATTGCTAACGACCCAGATACTGTAAGGAAGAATGAAAATGAAAATTCTGAGGGCTCTTTTATAGCAAAGAAGGCTGTCGATATGCAGGTTCCCTTAGAGGATGCTGGTTCTGCCGGCAAATCAGTGCAGAGTGGGAAAAAGGCAGATTATGATGTTCCTAATGAAGGGCAAAAGAATTTGCCAAATATAAAGTTATCTGGAGAGCGTGTAGGCTCTGTTGGCGATGAAGATGCTGATCTGGAGCCAAGAGAATTGAATCCCAAACCGCTTTTTTCTCCCACCACCCTGGCAGCTATTCATGACGTTATATCAGCTTATGGTGAGTGTTTTTCGTTTTCATTCACTCGTTTTTCTGTGGTTTTGAACTTGCCAATCTGATTCCAAGATGATTTGGAATAGGCGAGTTTTTTTCGATTTTTACTCTTTTGGGTCTTAGAAGTGATCTTAAAGTCGTATTCTTGAGAGTGCCTTTGAAACATTGAGGTCTTTTTACTCGCCATTCCTGTCGGTTTATCTTTATTTGACTTTTCTCCAGGCGTCATTGTCATACCTAAATAAATAGCTCTTCTCACTGATTGCGGTTACATCTTTGGCTTGTTTTATTTATCGAATTTATTCCTCCATTCCCTTCTCGAGGACGCTCTTTCCAACTAGTCAAAATAAATACATGGATTCTGCTATTTGATTTACATAAAAATTGGATGCTCGAACTTGGCCTCCCTAATGCGTAACATTATTGGAAGTGCCTCCAACTTTCTCAGCAGAAAGTTGCGCCTTCTAGATGCAACCCCTGAAGCATAGCACTTGGATTGAGAGAATCCCGAGGACCTTGCCGCGTCAATTGATTAAGGCGTCGTACCTGAGTTCATGCCGGAGTCAACATTTTATACACTAACCAGAATCGGGTCTCCTTAGGAAATATTAGTATTATTAGTCAAATGTATGTACACACTTAAACGAGATCACTTTTCGGAGGAAAATGAAGATTAAGATGTGTAATTCTTGCCCTCATTCACATATTTTCGTGTTCCAATCTCCACAACTTTCCTGTTTTATTTTAGATGCTGATCAAGGTAACGGGTTTCGATACGTTTTTACAAATGGCAGGGTCTCCCTTAATGTAAGTCTCTTGTCCATTGGGTGTTGGTTTCTCACTGCTATTCTTCTAATCGACTTTTTACGTGTCTCGCAGTTCTCAGTTACATTCTTAGATCGGATGTCACCTAGCGCTTACGATCTGATCTTCCACAATTGTCGGAAAGGCCCCATCGATGTGTCGGTGAGTTGTAAATCATGTGTCAGGTGCGATAGCTGCTGAATAATACGAGTTATTTTTTGGTATGGCCTCTTCGAACATTTCACTGACGGTTTTGCATCTCATTGTCACTAATCTCGGTGATGATCCTTTCATAGGCGCTCCACGCGTACTATTCTAGGGATATCGAATTGGAAGGAGAAGGGGATAGTTTTGATAATGAATTTGCAATTAAATAGTCTGTCATCTGCTTTTGTACCTAATGGGTTTTGTGAATTACTAATATGGGCTCGGATAAAGTAAATTATTTAACAGGCTTGTAATGCTAATCCGTAGCTGTCTAATTTCATGCATTGCGAATGCTCGCTAATTGATTTTCTTTCCACCCCGGAGAGACCCTTTTTAGTCACAATTATAAACTTTTTAATTAGGATTGATGAATTTCTATGAGGCCTTTGGTGCTTTTATTTTAGTGCGGAGTCGAGGGAGTATTGACTTTACTCCCAAATAGGTGCTGCATTCCTTTTAAAGCACAAATTGTGTTAGTCTGTAACGTTCCATAGGCTGCGTAACGCATATACCTTGAATTTGTATTTTTACCTCACTTGTCAGAAAGGGAGTATGCTAAGTATCAGAGGGTGGCCTAACATGAACCTTCTTTCAGATACCTTATCCGGTAATTTAGTCGTTGTTGGTCTTGAGCGCTCTGCAGCCGAACCATTGTCATTTCTATCGTGTATGTGAAGAGCTGAACTGGTGCGCATGGTACCGGTGTAAGGTTTTGAACAATTGAGCTGTTAATTCTATAGTTTATCTTGATAGTGATACTTGTGTAGGCTTTAAACTCTATGACCTGTCAAGATGTAGAGTATAACGTGAAAAGCCTATGCATATTACAAGTCGAAGCACCTTTAATTACTACTCATCATTCAGAGGCGAATAGAGTGGAAACTCTTGGTTCGCCTTCAGTGGCGCTAAAATAGCTGCTTTCATTGTGTGAGTAGTGATGACATATTCGTAGTCAATTGACACGCGGGTCTTGACACTAGTCAAGCAACCTTGGTGGAAATCAACCATCATGGTTCGAATTTATTACTGTTTAAACGCAAGGTCGAGAACCTTCCCATCAATTGACAAGTTGATAGGGAACCCACGTTATAGCCACCTGAGATTAATATATATGGGCTCTGCTGTCGATCCTCTCTTTCCTTTACAGATAGCAATGGTGGAGCGAAACGGAAACAATTACCTCTCCATAGGCGAGCAACCGTTGACGATCCTCTTCCTCGTGTTTTCCCTCATATACGTCTTCCTTTCAGTCGTTTGGAGCTTGCATCTACGATTTTCCAAGTCAGTCTGATCTATCTGTTTGCTGCATCCGTTGACTTTGTACTATTCTCTTCATCTACGTAATAATATGTTGAACCGACTGCGATGTTAGCTTCGATACGCTTGGCGTTTGCTTACTAGACTGTTCATTTCTGTGGTAACGACATCATTATTGTCGAAGCTGACTTCATGAATTTGGAGATTGGTCGATTAGGGAGCGGATCCAACCCTATTTGTGGTGTCGTTTTTAGCCCCTTATCCGCCTTTTGGGATTATAAAGCTTTCTTTTCATCCATCTTTTAAAAGAGGCCCTTTTATTTTGAGGGAGAATTCCTCTTCCTTTTTCCGTTTCAAGGCAAATTATGTGCGGACGAAGATTACCCGTTTTTTGCCAGATAAGCAATCCTCCATTCATTAACGAGAGAAGCTTGTGGACTTCACCCATGAGCCCCATTCTTTTCCCCAGGACCAAACAGCCTAACTCCTAGCCACTTTTCACTCGCTTCGTAGTGGATCAACCTTCGAGTGCTGCTCACTTCGCATTTGATTGTTTACCTCATCCAAAAAAATTAACGATACCTTTAGGTCTTAAAGGGTTTTATGACAATGTTCCGTTGCGTGAATCTTGTCACTAGTACTTCTTGCGTTTGCTTTACGGTGAAACGGAGGTTTCACTTTATAGCTTGTTTTTACTAAGGCATGATAGGCGATTCTCTTAAAGTAAAGGCATAGTGATGAGATGCTGGTGCTTGCGATTTGCATTTTGCGGGGTTACACGGATTCTAGCACTGCATTCAGCAATTTTCAGCGTGAATACCACTCCAACTCTTCCATCGTCTTTGCTTTGTTACAAGATCTAAGCCTCACATTCAGCGACTACTGCTTCATCTACGATTTTATCTCCCGCCCTTGTGTGGCGAATTTTGGGGTTAAAGGTTTTCCAACTGTCATTGGCTGCTTTTTCATTCTGAAGGAACTGTTGAGGTGCCGAAAAATTGCCTCTCTTCAGCAATGCAACTGTATCTCTATCATTCCCAGTCATCCTCGAAACATGTAGCACTCTTGTTGACTTTCACGATTCAAGGAAAAGCGATGATCTTCCACTGCACTAACTCTTAAGACGGTCATTGCCCTCCTTTTTACCCCTACTTTCGGTGGTCACTACCTTAATGCGTTTCATGTAGAGGTCTTTTTTCCCCAATTTTAAGGTCTTCATTTTTGCTCCCACATTCTTTTTCCCCTCAAAGAATTGTGTCAAAGGCGGATTGGTTCGTAAGTAGACGCCATTATTTAGTGTTAGTTTGCCTTCTGCAGCATTAGTTTCCTGGTCTATGCTAAAGCACTTGTCCACTTCTTCATTCGGCTTCGCTCAAAATTGACAATTTTGAGTAAATTCAAAAAGGTTATACAGTACTTAAAAGGCAGACTTGAGCTCGTTTTTTATCGCACGTTTCTCGATGGAAAGTTAACAGGATGTGAAGTTGTTGATTACTTCATATTTTCTCCCCTTCCTTCATTAAACCAGACCGCCTTTATTAATGTCTCCGTTGTTATTCCCTTCAAGACATTACCACTGGGATGCAATGTGGTTAATGTATTCTAAACCGCACCAATTTCATTGCCCGCCTTATCATTGAAGAGCACCCAGCAATGATTTGCCTCACTTCATTATTTGCTGAGCGGTATTACCTTGATTTTTTCTGTTGAACCTGTATTTCGCATGACTATATTGTGTGTATTGTGATGCCCTTCATCTAGTAGTCGGTTCTCTTATTCTAGCAATTTGTTTTCTTCCATGCTCCTGCATTACCGTACCTATTCTCTTTTAAGGGCTGTTCTTCTATTGATAGGCTTGTTGCCTTAACCAAACTTTGTAGTCCATTTTAACATTCTTTTTTCCTTTTAGGGCTCCCGTCTTCCGAATTCACCGCCTCATGCTGGCCATGGTTATCGTCAAATCCATTTCTCTCATGTTCCATGCGGTACGCTGCCTGTCAACTAATTGTCTATGAAAGGCAACAAACCTAATAATTTGTCGCCAAAATGCTTGTGAAGGAGCAATTGCTTTAAGGCTGCCACCTTTTTTGTCTGACTTTCATCCCGCATCTGAGAGTCAATTTTGCCTTTGAGTTGTCCTAATTTTAGTCGTTAAAGAACTGATCTAGGAAAATCTTTTAGTCTACATGAAAGGATAGGGAGGGGTCTAGGAATACTGTTACGTTACAGTCATTCAGGGGTTTTACGACACCATCTCCACCGCGTAGTTTCATTCTGTAATGCAGGACGCAGGATTTTGCTGCATTAAGTACCTGACTCACGAAATACCCGATCAGATTTCACCCAATGCCGAGAGCAAACCAATTAATTGAGAAAAATCCTCCCATTCATAGCAATTCTCCTCAGATCAGGAGTTATTGGCGAACTCCTTTGAAGAGTTTCACATTTATGGAATATATTGCTTTTTAGCTGCCACATCAGGTGTGCTTAGTGCCTTTTCACAGGCTCATATTGTCTTTGGGACGCCTCACGTTAAGTATTAATGAGAAAGTTGATTTTTAACCTCAATATCATCGAATTTTTCATTAATTGTTTGTTAGGATTCATCCAGCGGAATGATTTTACTTGTTTTTTCTACTTTTCTAGATTAATTATTTCGTGATCGGAAGGCATGGTGTTCAGGAGGAGGGTTGGGCTGCGATGGACTACATTGCTCACCTGTACGTTCAAGCTCCCCTCTGACTACCGCTTAAATGGCAGTCTTTGGATAATGACACCTGATACTGTAGTTCATGTCAGCATTTTTTTTTGAGTATGGTCCTCATTGGCAGGGCAAAGCCTTTGACGTCATTCGTTATTTTCCTCTCCGCCTTGGTACCATTTTCATACTCTTTAATGTAGAACTGTATTTCTCCAAATTGGCATTTTTAACGCATTGCAAAGGTGTCACTGACCTCTACAACTTCGGTTCTTCCGTTGTGAAGGACTAAGAGTTTGGCCACTCATAGATGGCTTCTTCAAGGGAAATCGAGCGTTTCACGTGAGCTGTGGTATATTGGAGTCATTGCATTCTACAAAGGTCTATCCCCATTCATAACCGGATCTCCTTGTTTATGCTTACCGGCTGGGTTAATAGGGTTTCTTTTGATGGCAAAGCAATTCACTTTGGGCTGCTTCCTTTGTAGAACTCGAGGATTTCTGTTAATCGTCACCATCCTAATGATCGGTGCTGGTTGGACGTTCATCAAGCATGTCTTCACGCGCAAGGAGAAACAGGTCTTTCTCATCGTCATTCCATTACAGGTTAGTCTCCCCTCTTCGGCTATTTTCGGGCTTTTGGTGTGAACTTGGTCATGGCTCTCCGTCTTTTAAAAGCTAAAACAATTTCGAGATTCATTTACCTAGTACCGATTCAGTAGATCGATGGCATAAATGATGACTTCGTTTGAGCGTGCTCTACACGGCAGACCTTATTACTTATGGAATAGCTAGATGAAACCTTTGGTGTTGAGTATGCGTCCCAGCATGTGCTCTGTATTGAATCGGTCTGCCAGTGATCCGGTTCGTTTGTCATTAATTATTTAAAGCTTGCCACTAGGGTCAGAGCTTCTGTATGTTCTTAGTTTGCGTTATCTTTACATCATGCTGGTGGTTCTAGGCAAGAGTAAACAGTCGTTTCTGGTTACTATGATTAAGAGTTTGTTTATGGGTACCAGCTCGGGAAACCTCATTAACTGTTGCACGCTTCCTATGCTTTATTGCAAACTGACATTTGACATGCATTACCAATATGATGGTTAATATCCCTTTAACTGTTTAAGCATGAATTTCTGATTCGTCTCGAGCGTATATTGTATCTGGCTTCGAATTTCTTTCGATGCATTGGGCTTCTGTTATTCACGATGATAAGTAAAGGCGACAAAGTAAGATAGAAGATACTTATTGCACTTTAGGTGTTTGCAAATATCGCGACCATAGTGATAAATGAAACAGAACAGGGCGCGAAGCGCTTTGCTCTGTGGAACGAGATCTTTACGGTGGTGGATCTGCTTTGCTGCGCTGGAGTGCTGTTTCCTGTTATCTGGTCCATCCGCCATCTGCGTCAGGCGGCGCAGACTGACGGGAAGGTTGCGCAGAATTTGCGTAAACTACGACTTTTTCGTCATTTCTACATTCTTGTCATCTGCTACATCTACTTCACTCGCATCATCGTCAACCTGCTGCGAATGACCACACCCTTTGCGTGGACTTGGCTGGTAGAGCTCTTTGAGCAGACCGTCACGCTAATCTTTTACATCTCTGTGGGACACAAGTTCCGGCCCTTCAACGACAATCCATATCTACAGCTTCCAACCTCGGAGGAGCAAGAGGCAGAAGATGTTGTCATGGAGCTTTTTAATATGGAGGAGGCGTGAGTTTCACCCTCTAAAGTCATTACTGAAGCCTTTTCATTTCATATTTTCTCTTTTATCATTCAGCTTATCACAGTCGGGTATGATGGATGGAGTGACGCGTATCCATCGGCCGCAAAATCTTGAGGCGGCACGAGAGAATCGGCGTCGGCGTGAAGACGCGGCTAATCGACCGTTGCCAGGGGACGCGGAGGCTGCAGACTCAGATTTGCTCCCACTCATTCATCCTTAGAGGAAGTGAGGAGCTTTTGGCGCCTTTTTTCTCTTGTTGATTTTTCCCGCTTATTTACCGGCTGGCAATTTGTTCCTTCGCTTTCATAACAGTCCTCCTTGTCACTTTCTTGGAATGAGTTAAAGCTTGTACGAATTCCCTTTAGCCTTCCTCTGGCTTGTGTCGAATTAAAAGAACTGCAGTAGGCATTTTTAGCTGGGTTGATTGAGCCTCTTTATGTAGTTTGAGGGCAAACTGTTTTCCTAATATGCATTTGTTGGATTTGATGAGGATTCCTAAACATCACTTAAGGGTGAGGAGAGGGTGAGCGTCTAACTTCACGTTCTAGCGTTTTGATTCTCTACATCATTAGCTCAAAGCATTGTCACGGCATCTGGGATTTTAGGTTGCAGTTCGTGTAGTTCCCACTACATTAGGTGCAGTTGAAGGTCTTAAGCTTTAGCGTTTCCATCGCTAAATGCTGGTCATTTTTGTTGCACGGCATGAGGGTGCACAATTTTGTGCTTGATGATACAGTAAAAACGTTCATCCCAACTTTCGAATTGTTACCAAATCAAGATATCTGGGTGGATGCAACGGTGAGTTCTGTGTTCCTGTGTACTCGAATGTGGCACTTTGTAAGTAGTCTTTTGCAGAACCGGTTTTATTGTTTATTAAATCAAATGCAATGATTGAAATTGGGCGGATTTTTTTGTTCATGGTAGCACCTTCGCGTTGAAATCTGTCTCAAGAAAGGATAGATAGTTTTTGTCATGACACGGCGAAATGTTTGGTCCTATGATGCTGTGACAGCGCTGGAACCTCGCTTTAGCTTGGCGAGACGCCTAGTTCTTCACCTTACTCTAAGCATGCATTGTGCATTCGAATTTTGTTGGTGAGGGAGGCACATTAGTTAAATGGGGAAGGAGTTTGGAAGTGAATCCTCAACTGACAAAGACGAAGAGCTAGGAAGCTCTCTTGCAATCGTTTTTGCTCTCTGCTTGTCCAATGCAAATGGCATTGCAACTTGTTCGTTGAAGGTCGCAGTCATTTATGGTCGAGAGGTAGCATCACGTAAAGATCGTTTCATCACTGACCTCATCTATCAACTTTGAAAGAACTTGCCATATTCTAAATCTTATATTTTGTCTCAGATTTTAATAAGACTTAAAGCCGTTTCCTGTAAAGCGATACTTTCCCAGTAAATGGAAAAATGAAGACGCTTCTTCTCTGCCAAAGGCAACGCATTATTATTGAAAAATTGGGGGTAATAGAAGAATTGTAATTAATTTTTTAAGGGTCTAGTCATCAGTAAACATGAACTACAATCAAGCGGTTACGCACGCCCATACGTACACGAAGAGAGCGAGAGAGGAGAGAGCGGCGTCATTTGAAGAGGCATAGAGCAGGTGACAGTGAAATATGAATATATCCTTAATTTCTTTTAATTATTTAAACAATTATCGGATTAGTTAAACAGTCTTAGTAGTAGCAGTAGTAGTAAATCCTACAAAGAATGACTAGTGGACGGGGCTCGGAAACAGCATCATACAAGGCGGATGGTTCATAACAGGGTGGGGGAGGGCACTCAAGTGGGGAATCAACAAAAGAGATAGAGGGGAGATTGAAGTAAAGGCGGAGAGACATTCTTGAAAAAATATTTATGCTGAATGCCTAATTGGAGAGCAACAAAAAGAACTATGATTGGCGGTAAAGGGCGAATTTGGACAGAGAGTAGAAGAGAGCTGGACAGAGGCGTTAGACAATGTAGTTAACAAGTGGTTGGGTCCGCATACAGACGATACACTTGCCAACGGAGTCCTGACTCTGCCTTACCTTGATCACCTGACCCATCACCATGCCAAACATGTGATCGTCCATAGAGCTGGGCATGACACGTAGCCAAAAGTTCTTGTGCTCCTCAAAGAAGCCACAGAGACCCTTTGCAGTGCACTCAATGAACATGTGCGAGCGGAAGATAGGCAGGCAGCTGCCTGGTGAGGCTAACTGTTGTCCACCACCTTGAGCTCCGTAGCCAGTGTTCTAAGCATGAAATCACAGGGTTATTTGTTGGAACAGTGCTTTTTGAAGGGTTATCATAATGACAATTTTCTGTGTGATCATTTCATCTAAAAATTGCATCTTACCATGAGGAAACTACTGCCCACCCACATGTCTTGCCATCCCATTGGACACTTAGGGATCTCCAGTGTCTGTGAATGGAAGGCGTAGAGCTGGAAGGTAAAAAAGGAAAGAAAATTGCTACTTGCTGGAGCCATTAATAATGATCCTAGCCACATGTTCAACAACTCTGTCAACCCACCGTACTAGGCGCTTCGCAGACAACACATCTGCTGATGTGACGTTGGGACTCATTCACTGGCACAGGGTTCCACATCATCGGCTCATCCTCAGTGCTTAGCCAATAGGAGCGATCGTTGCGTTGGGCAAAATAACAGTTCTCTTGCTTCTCACAGAACATAAAAGGAATCGGATTAAACATTTGCAGGCAGGAACCCGGACTCGCCAAATCGTTAACATGCGGCCTTTCCGATCCTGACATGCTCAAGAAGGAGTAACCTTCCCAGAGCTTACGCGTTGACGACGGGCATTCAGGAATGCGCATTGTTTGACTATGTCTAAAACCCAGAAGTTAGTTGAAAACGTTCCCTTGTTTGAAAAACGTTCACAATTAGAGGAATCCTTACTTGGCGAAAAGGAAGCCAGTGTTCCCTCGAGTGTCACCAACACGACCAGGAAGACCAGGTTCACCCTGAGGTCCAATATCGCCCTTGGGTCCTGGTGGTCCACGAGGTCCAGACTCACCGGGTGGACCTTCATAGCCTTTTGGACCCATTGGTGCAGGTTCACCCTTCTGCCCGGGTTCCCCAGTGCGACCCTGGGGACCGGGTTGACCCTGTGGACCTCGTGGACCCATCTCGCCTGGAGGTCCATCGGGACCTGGCTGACCCTTCTGTCCTTTCGCACCCGAAAGACGATCACCCTGTTCACCTTTTGGGCCCGGCAAGCCTGGTGGACCTCGTTCGCCTTTTGGTCCACGGAACCCTTTCTCGCCTTTAAAGCCCTGTGGTCCTTGTTGTCCATCGCGCCCATCAATTCCGGGTCTCCCATCAGGTCCAGGTGTACCGCGTTGTCCGGGTTTTCCAGGGAGCCCACGTTCACCCTGAATGCGGCGTTGTTCCGATGAAAAGTTTATTCTCAAGTAGATGACGAAAACATCAATCGTACCTTGGGACCAGGCTGACCAGCAGGTCCCTGAGGACCACGTTCACCCTTGACCCCCTTTAGTCCAGGAGGTCCATCTGGGCCCTGTTCACCAGGTTGAGGGTAGGAAATACCCTTAGGACCCTTAGGCCCTCGTGGACCTTGTGGTCCCATTCTGCCTATATCTCCACGATCGCCTTTTTGACCCTTAGCACCGACGAGGTCTGGACCAGGGTCACCACGTTCACCTGGACGTCCACGAGTTCCAGGAGCTCCGGTTGCGCCTTTGACTCCGGGTGGGCCAATGGGGCCAGGCAATCCAGGTTCACCTTTAGCTCCGGGCTGACCAACCATTGAATCACCAGGTTCGCCATCTGGTCCCCGTTCTCCCTTGGGACCTGAAAGCATAAAAGAGAGCATGGATGTTAGTACTTGTAATCAAGGATGTGCTAAGGTTAAATTTGGAGTCTACTTACCAACAGGTCCCTGTGGCCCTCTTGGTCCACGGGGTCCCTGAGGTCCACGTGGTCCTGGGAGGCCGTCAGGACCCCTCGGTCCATCTGCTCCCACTGCGCCTTTTTTTCCCTGGAACCCAGAAACGCCCTTGAACCCTTGTGGACCCGGTATCCCTGGAAGTCCCATGGGCCCAGGCTCGCCTTTGGGACCTGGGGGTCCCGGTGCGCCAACATCTCCAGGTGGGCCAGGAGGTCCTCGTTCTCCTTTATCGCCCATTTCAGGTTCACCATACTGAACCCCTGGTTGGCCTTTTGGACCTTTTAAACCCTATTTATGCAAGTATATTCGTTTTTAGAAAATTATTCCACTTATAAACACCAATAATGGTTTTTTTGCTCACAGCTGGTCCTTGAAGTCCAGGACGGCCCTGAATTCCCTCATCACCAACAGGACCGATTGCTCCGCGTGAGCCTGGACGACCATCTGGACCTGGATGTCCAGGCTCACCCTTCAGCCCTCGTAGACCTTTTGGTCCAGGACCGCCAGGAGCTCCCTTCCTAGCAGGTGGTTTATCAGTACCTGGTGGACCCCGTGGACCTTGTTCACCTTTGGGACCCTTAGGCCCTGGTTGTCCCTGAATAGATTTTCCAGGTGGACCAGGCTCACCCTTGGGACCGGAGACACCCTCGTATCCCGGATCGCCAGAAATTCCCATGCGACCCGGTTGGCCCTTCTCACCCTTGATTCCAGGTGAACCAGACCCAGGTGGCCCCACTTCACCCTTCTCGCCAGGATAACCTTTTGGACCGGGATCACCCTTGGGTCCCGGTGGACCAGCAGGACCAGGGGGTCCTTCAGGACCTTCAGGTCCCGCCTCTCCAGGACGACCAGGTTGCCCTTTAGGTCCCTGGCGTCCAGGTGGGCCCATTGGTCCTATTTCGCCAGGATCTCCAGTCTCTCCGGGTGGACCTACCTTGCCAACCGGCCCAGGTGGGCCCTGTTTACCCTTTGGACCTGGTGGACCATCTATGCCTGGAGGTCCTGCTGGACCAGTCTGCCCCTTTTGGCCCTTATCGCCTTTCATACCCTCACTTATAAAGTCATCAAGACCTTTGTCACCCTTAGGTCCCCTTGGACCAGGCAATCCAGGAGGACCCCGGACACCCTTTGGTCCTTTGGGACCATAAAGCACTTCTCCAGGAGAACCGGGTTCCCCTTTAATGCCCTTAGGACCGGCTTGTCCTGGACGTCCAGCAACTCCAGCTATTCCCTTAGGTCCTTTTTCGCCTCGAGGACCTTGAAGACCAGGAGCACCAGGTTCACCCTTTCGACCCTTTTCACCAGGTTCACCGCGTGGACCCCTGAGACCAGGTTCAGAGCCACCATCAGGACCAGGACGACCAGTTTCACCACGCTCTCCTTCGGGTCCGCGCTGACCCTTGGGTCCCATAGGACCCTGTGGTCCCTGGCGTCCGTCTGGACCTCGGCCACCAGGCAATCCGGGCTGACCTTTGGGTCCACGACGACCCTTCTCTCCAGGTTTACCGGGAGGTCCAGCTTCACCGGGATAGCCCTTCTTTCCATCCTTTCCATCAGTACCACGAAGACCCTTTTCACCAGGTGCACCTAAATGGAAACGTACAGTTTTTAGCCAGCATTCTAAGAGACTGAATATTTATGCTGCAAATGGTAGCTCTACCCTGAGCGCCAGGGAATCCAGGAACTCCGGGTTCACCCTTTTCACCCTTTGGTCCAGGTTCGCCTTTGAGATGTTCGTACAGTTGTTCAATAATTCGATCGGGGCCTGAAGATGTGAGAAATAGCGTTAAGAAAGACGACTTTAGAGGGAAAAAACTACTGGGCCCACTTACCTCGTTCTCCCTTTTCACCCTTTGGGCCGGGAAATCCGTCACGACCGGTTGGACCAGGTTCACCCTTCTGAGCTCTTATAACTCTTCCGTCGGGTCCCGGATCACCAGGTGGTCCCTGAGGTCCTTGAGGTCCACTAAAACCTGGAAGACCCTTTGCTCCTGGCTCCCCCTTTAGCCCTTCAGGTCCACGTGGACCACGTTGTCCTGGGAATCCTTTTGGACCAGTAGGTCCACGAGGTCCCGGTCTACCCGGAGGTCCATCTTGTCCTCTAGGAGCTTCGGTAATGGTTTGATTGATAAATTCGATTCGACCCGGTTCTCCAGGAGGTCCGCGCTCGCCCATTGGACCTGGCTCGCCTTTAGCACCCTAGGATCCAAAATATGGTGTTTCAACTTCAGCTAAACACTTGTACAGGCTTGTTCTAATGAACATTAAATAAATTACCTTCCTGCCTGCAGGACCCATAGGGCCATCAGGACCTTGGAGGCCTGGAAGACCCTTTGCACCAGGGGCTCCATCGACACCGTCCGGACCTGCACGTCCAGGACGCCCAGTAAAGCCCTTTGGACCACGCGGTCCTGGGAGTCCATCTGCGCAGTAGGCGCAATCGCCTTGGGGACCCGTTGGACCTCTTGGACCCGGCCGACCACGAAGACCTGGACTACCTGGTAAACCTTTAACACCTGGTGGACCTTTTACGCCATCGATGCTGGGTCCATCTTCACCAGGTTCTCCGGGTGGGCCTTGTGGGCCTTCAGGACCTCGCTCACCTAAAAATAGTGAAATATACCGTAGAACGTTTCCACGGATTCATTAACACGATACTAAAGCCTACCAGCTGGTCCTTGTGTTCCAGGAACGCCAGGGGGCCCCCTTTCACCTTTTGGACCAACTAGATCTTGTCCAGGTAAGCCCTTGACACCCTTTAAACCTCGAGGTCCGGGAGGTCCAGTCTTTCCACGTTTCCCATCAACTCCTGGAAGGCCTATTCACAAGAGATATCCCTCACGTTCAGAGAGATAGGATAATAGTTAAACAGTTCATCCTACTATCTGGTGACACCCACCTCGTTCACCCTTGGGTCCAGGTTCTCCAGGAACGATGGTTCCGTAGCCGGGACCAGGGTCGCCCTTGGGACCTGGTTCGCCGGGATCTCCTCGCTCACCTTCCAGACCCTTTTCTCCCATTGGGCCTTATGGGATAAACGGAATGCGAATCAATATTTTGTTAGTGGCCAGATTTCTTGTTCATATTTTACAGAGGCTATTAACTAGTTTCATATTTCTTACCTTCATCACCGGGAGGGCCAGGTGGTCCCATTTCACCACGTTCTCCATCTGGACCAGGAAGTGTGCCCTCAGTAGTGATTGTGTCACCTTTTGGACCCTATTAAGTGAAGCAATGTTATTATTGTCTCACTGTTATAAGTCTATGATCATAAATGACGGAAAAATATACCTGTTCTCCTTTGGGCCCAGTTCTTCCAGGATAACCCTTCTCACCTTTTACACCGCGAGGACCTTCAGGACCTTGCGGACCTTGCATTCCGTCAATTCCAGGTCGTCCTGAGGCACCTGATGCTCCAGTTGGCCCAATTTTTCCCTTCTTGCCCTGTGGTAGAAAAATGAAGTCAATAGCGATGGTTTTGAGCAGCTAAATTTCGTGCTGATTTGAGCCCATTTTCCTTACCGGAGGACCGGGATCACCTTGAGGACCAGGTTGGCCGGGAACTCCGGGAAACCCAGATATACCCTATTTAAAAAAAAATTGCGATAGAAGGAGGCATGAAGATGTAACTAAATAATTTTTGAAAGTTTGTGAGGTGGAAACTTGCTCGTTCGCCCTTGAGGCCTTTGTCTCCAGCAGGTCCACGTTCCCCTGGAACGCCTTTATAGCCCTTTGGACCAACTCTGTTAAAAAGGATCAGTTTTAAATTGAATGCATCAAGAACAGCTAGACGCGGAGCAAAGTTATCCAATATATCGAGCATATTTTTACGGTGCATTCAAATCATAGGGGAGCAACTGTACCATTTCATGGGGGCCAAATGCAGCTGCTACGATTAACAGTTTATCATAAAGAATAACGTACATATAATGTTCTACGACATTAAACGTACTGAATGCCCTTCAACACAGGCGGTTTCTCATAAGAGGCACCCTTGTAGCCTTTCTCACCTTTATCACCTCTTTGGGCCTAAATATCGGACCATATTGTTACACGAAGGATGATTTTCTTGACATTAAGCAAGAATAATTTTTGTTAGCCAAACTTACATATTGGATTGATGGGCTAGGCGTCTTACCCTTTGGACCTTTGGGGCCCTGTTCTCCACGATCCCCTGCGGGTCCCTAAAATCATTTTAACTCATATTTACTTCGCTAGCTAAATTTAAGCAGGTGATACACTAGACCTTTAACAGAAACCTACCATGAAACCTTTGGGGCCCGGTACGCCAGGGCGACCGCGTTCTCCATCGGGACCACGAGGTCCAACGGGTCCCTGAGGTCCCCGTGAACCTTTCACACCAGGAGGCCCTTCAACTGCCCTTCCATCGCCGATTATAGTGTCGCCTTTTGCACCCTGGGTTAACAATGCACTTTGACGTAGTGCCCAATGAATATAGACAAGTCTCCATCTTTGATGGCATGACTCACCTTTTCTCCTTTGGGTCCACGAGGTCCCTGAAGTCCGTCATACCCATCAGGTCCAGGAAGTCCGGGAAACCCTGGGGGCCCCTAAAATTTTTAATGTTCACCTTTTTGCCAAAAGAGCGTCGTTACTCGTATTGAATATTAGTAACACCAACCTTTATTCCGCAACATCCCGGGTCACCAGGGAAACCCTTGGGGCCCTTAATACCTGGCATACCCTTCAGACCGTCGGTTCCTGGCATTCCAGGCTGACCTTTGTCACCCTGTTATTTGAAAGGTGCGCAATTAATTTTTACGCAATGCCACTTCAGATATGCATCCTAAGCATTCTCAACTCACCATGATGCCTTTGCGACCAGGCTCCCCAGGATATCCAGGTAGGCCCTGCTGACCTCTGGGACCAGGAGGACCTCTAGAACCTCGGGGACCTATCGATCCAGGTAAGCCCATGTGACCTTGAGGTCCAGGTTCACCCTACAGCAGTCAGTAGAAAAGGACCAGACTCTAGTTGGTAATTTAAGACATTCTACTTATTTACAGTCAGTAGAATTAGTGCCTTCCTAACATTTTACTGAATAAGGGTGAGTCTGTCAAAGTCCTGCCTCACGGCACAACCCATAGGGCGTCCCATTTACCGACGTCTTGGGTTGGGGAGGGAGGAAGAGTAAAACAACGTCATCTTACTGTAACTCCCAAAGGCGAGGAAGTAGTCTAAGGTCAGTGGTGATCACATGAGCTTAGGATCAAACTGTATTGTAAAAACACCTTTAGAGCTGGTATCACTTTCTACACAATCCATTTACTACCGTCGATATGATCAGTCCACCTGCGGCGGGTGGAGCGCCGTCCTGCTGTGCTTAGGAACGCAAATCAGTGCTTTACCAAATCATCAGCAACAAGTACGTCCGTGACACTGGCATTTTACCAATATTAAGCGGGAAACATCGAAACGTTATGGCGTTAAATGAAATGCATAAGACTGCCTAAAGTTCACCCATAGAGATAGGTCTTGTTTGTGGATAGAATTTTCAGCGAAAGTTAAACGAAAAATACATATCTTTGAGAAAATATTCGTGAAGTAAAAGGTTAAAAATATCTTCCATTTGTAAACTTTAATTATCTACAGGAAAGCAAATCACCTAAGGTGGAAAGTAAGCAGGATCCAATCATTTACTTTTTTGTCGGTAGCTTAAAAGTTGTTCCTGTGGCATTTTAATCGACAATTCGTCACCTTTTCCTACACGCGTGCTCTTGAAAAGGGATCTATCTTCAACATGTTTTAAAAATTAAGGAGAAATTCTCAAACGCACCTGAGGGCCAGGAATGCCTTCGCAAGAGCATTCTTCACAAATAGCATTGGGACAGGCCTAAATATGATGCAAAAGTTGAAAATACTTTTATTTAGTACAAAGTGGCGCTGTCCAATACTTTAACTCAGAAGGAATGATGAAGGAGAATGGCATAATCCATCCCCAGAACTTACAACAGCCGCCTGAGAAGGCCGCAGAAGTAGAGAAAGACAGAGGAGAAGGGTAAAAAGATGGAAATGGGTCCGAGTGAACTTTTGAACAGAAGCTAAGGGGTTAAGTCGCGGCAGCCTGTGGCGTGACATGCTCTTCCTCCTCCTAATCGGGCTAGAGCACCTTCCACAGACGTGCTTCTCGGAAGTATATGTAGATCCTAATTACCTGACGAACGCACACACGCCCAAACACACCACCGATGCCTACTTGCCTGCCCTCTGGGCAATTCTGTGCGTGCGTGCAGCCCTAAATCGATTTCACACTTCGCTTTGGCAGTTTCAGAGGCACAGGCATCGCGAAGCCAATAGGAACACACCTGTAGCAGCACAACGTAACACACCAAAAACGCGCACAGGAAACGTCATGTGTGTGTAGATGTGAGTGCCCACGCCTAGTGTGTCTATCCCACAAGGTCTTGGCGTCATGGCATTAGGGACAGCGGAGGCCCCTTTAACCTTGACGTCATTCACTAGGATGTGCGGTGGAAGATGGAAGGAGGGGGAAAGGAGAGAGGAAAGGGAACAGAGTTGTGGTGGTTCCACGAACTAAACCATCTTTCCTTCCGATTTTGACTATCCTCAGCAGTCTTTCATTAAAAGCACACTTATTTTAATGATTTGTTCGGGCAAAAAATGTGCCAATGTGACATAAGGATAAGGAAAACCAATAATTTTCATGGAATTTGTAGAATTAGCAAACAACGAGGAGTTTATTGAGAGCTTTTAACCTTCGGTAGTAGAACGGATTGATCAAGCTCTGCATTTCGGAGAGTTGGCGTTGATCAGACTGACAGCAATATTAAGTACCGTGACACTTTCTGGGCAGATTGATACACCGTAGATGATGGAGGCTTTTGGCATCCAAAGTTAAGTAATAGTTAGGCGTTACGTATACTTGACGTTAGTTAGGAGCCCATTAATGCTCGTTAAGGATACTTCTTTCATGGTTCGGCTAAATTTCTAACTAAACAATGACAGCTTGAAGTCATGTTATCGCGCCTCCTCCCCTTTGTGTCGATTCCTTCATCATCCCCCACTTAAATGAATAAAACAATCTTTGGTCCGAAACGTGAAATGCTTTCACGTCTAGATAAGTGAGATCCATGATTGCACATCTCTTATCCTGCCACAACGGCAGCTGCTCCCGCCCCCTGCCCACCCCTGTGGCCATAAGCGGAGAAAAGGAGGCCTCGAGGTGTTATAGTAACCTCTGACGCAGAGGTGGGGGAGAATCACAATAAACCTACGCACTTCTGCATTCCCACTTCCGCGTATTTACAAAAGTTTATGCTTTTTGTGCATAGATGGATAAATGAATGCCTAAGTGATAGGAATGAGAGGATTCATTGTTTCATGCATTTGACAGCGCGAGTTCCATCGAGATCTTACCGCATCCTTCCCACTTAGTCATCATCAAATGTTCTAGCTAGCAATCCGGCACTTTACTCAAACTTAGTTTGGAAAATAACCTGCGAATTTGCTGACTATTCACTGCTTTCTCCTCCAAGTTTCAGTGCATTCAATGAAAAACGTCTATAAATCGCTGATCTCAAAACGCGGTCCTCACCGGTTTGACAGTCCTCATCCTAATTTTGTGGCTAAGACGTTTTCGCTTTGAGAAAGTCCATTTCTGACAGTGGTGGTAACAATACTCGTTGGATCCCTGTCACCTTTGATGAGAGCCAACAAGGACGTCTTGATGGAGGATTAAAGGTATTCACTTGCAGATTAAAAAGCTGTCAATGTTGAAGTCTGCTCTCTTCGTGGCAGCGTGTTTATGAAATCACTTTATCCATCTTTCGACACAATCATTCCCTACTGTGCTCGGTTAATGTCCTCAGGGCAAGAAGTGCTGTAATGCATCTTGGGTCTAAATTGCCCTTGGTGGGTGGGAGGCGAGAATTGAACTTGAGTAACTCGTTGGAACCACAACAGTCATACCCTTACCGACTTGCCGCTCTTGTCCAAGCTTGCGAGTTCTTAATTTGTTGACCAAAGTTATGCATTGGAAATCCTCACCTGATCCTCGCCTGAAGAACTCGAGATGAAAAATCCTGAGTCGAGAGCAGCAACTTCATGTACCATGAAATTAGCTGAGGTGAATTAGCGCCTTTACTGGCGTCACAAATATCGCGACGGAGGCCAAAGAGAGCCTGAACATTAAGCTTTCGTGTGAGTGGGTGTGTGCATGTGTGTGCGTAAGAAATTGTTAAGAATTTTGACGTAGAGAGAAAAATTTGTTAATTTCCCATTTCCTCATGTCAATTGGAAAAGGTTAGCCCATCCACCTAAATACCATGACTACGTTCCTCTCAAAGCACAGGAATTGTATGCATTATTTGTACTTCTTTCAGATTACGGCTGCTCTACGTTGATTCATCATAATGAGGTAGAAAAGTTGGGGAAAAAATTAATGAAAAGGTGACTTAGTTGAGGAGGATATGGCCTTCACTGACATCTTCGGCCTGTCTTGCTTCGAATCCCCTTGTCATGCCTTATTGCTGAATGAATTTAATACCTGATTTTAGCTATATGTAAATAGTCTTAACCATTTCATTATTTACATATAAAAAGCAGTTCGAGAAGAGTATGATCGACTGGAAGGTCAGGTCCCTCGATTCGGTAATGGCGCCTAAGCTGCAGGACTAATAAAACCTCGATCAGCAAGGCGACCTTATCCTCCTCCTTGAGACGCTTCAAAAAAAATGGCCTTGCTAGATCACCAGGACAGCATCAAAGTTATAGCAAGATTGGCAAAGATTTCGGTGATTAATTAGATCCAGTAGGCGAATAAGAGTGAAAGGAATTAAGCAAAATCAGCAAAAGGCACATAAGATTCAGATCCCTTCCTTAAAGTGAGAGCTGCTAATTGACTGACGGAGAAAGCTATAAATGAAAATGTTGCTCTCTAGGCGTTACGTGATGGTTTTGCTTGCCAGCCTATCATTAGCATTCTCTAGTTGTAGGAGAGACCATCCTCCTGACCTGTACGAAAAAGGTCCTCTTATTCTCCTCTTTGAAGCCTTACACATATCACTGCATGGCACAGTGGACCTCCAATTCTTACACTTTGAGAGCGATTGGGCAATGGGATTGGATGGGAGGTTGGAGAGGGAACAAGAGCAAGTGAGAGGGAAATAAAGTGCATCATCCTGCTCTCCATATTCATCGTTCTTAAGATAGTGTTTCCTTAGAGCCGAGGAATGCACATCTTCCCTCCTTGCCACTACCAACACAAGTCGAAAACTGTGCGACCCTGAAATAAAACATATTCGATCAAATTGGATCAAGTTTTATGGGATTAGGATGGAGTGGGATGGAATAGACGTAAGAGTGATAAGCACAAGTATAGCAGAAACGGAAATGGCTAGTGATCCGAATATGGGTAGGACCACAGTTGATGCCACCAATCTTGACAGCATTCTTTTGAGTGTTAGCGTCAAGAGATGGTTTTGCCCACTTTTTCGACAAGGGCTACTGCAAAACGAGTCCCGCTGAACATCCGTTTCCCCATCGGCAAAAGAGAGGCCCAAAAATCGGGATTGCTGGTGCTCCAAATGCGGGTTTGCAAGGAAAGTACATAGTATGCCTTTGCATATGGTCAGGGTTCTCCTCCATCTGGAACACAGCAGTGGCCCAAATCCTTTCCTTAGCCCTCTTCTCCCTCACCTTCTCCACCACCCAAATTGAACTATTCTGGCTTTTCAATCAACCTCTGAAGGAGAATTTTGAAGGATAGTTTTTGAAAATGTTTGATCTCTCGAAAATGAGTGAATAAATGCTTCATGCCTTGTAGGACTCATTTAAACCCTCGAGGGTCACTGGTCCTACAGAACTTCAATCTTTCGCGTGTTCAGAAACCCGACGAAAGCTTCACGTGAACCATAACCTTCTCACTTAAAAATAATTTGTGTCACTCAGAATCTAGCATATTATTTTTCGCATTGTAGTTTTGGAAGAGGTGCACAGAAAAAAGATAATACATAGTAAATGCAGTGACCTGCGAGATATTTCCCATGAAAAGACAGTCTACTCTCACTTACCGATCACAACCCTGATGGAAAACAGGAATGGGTTACCTTATCTTCCTTTTTTGGAGATTATTTGACTTTGTCTAAGGGAGTGCTTGAGGAGGGGAATGCGAACTCTCTTGAGAGCCAGGTCATTGGTAAAATGTCGCTTTTCAAAGGACTTTTTAAATTCAGAACCTTCAATCCCATTGGTTTTCACTTTCCTCTAAAGGAAAACAAAACAAGAAGGATGTTTGGGGAGCGTCTCTTCAAACACTCACCAAGGTCTCTAGGTTGGTGTATTGTTAACAAAATGTAGGGATGTGAAAGAAGGAAATATGCTGAGGCCTGCAATTGGCTCAGAGACCACCCAGAAATGTTTAATTCTCACCTAACTCTCCTTGGAATTGCTTTTGAACTTAGTAGGGCAAATTTCGTTGAGAATGTAAAGTTAATGGAGAAGAGAGGTATTAAAAAAGAAAAAAAATTGACTTTTTGAAGGTTCATCTATAGAAAGATATGCTGTGTCCTTGACATCATTCCGTTTTATAACTGTCCACTTAGACAGCAGCAGAGGAAATAAACAAGTGAATTTCCTCTTATCTTGGTGGAGACAATTTTTTCGCAGGTGAAGCTGAGTTGATGTAGAAGAAATAGAAAAAGAAAGAAAAAGAAGAAGAAGGAGGGCGGCGGAATGCGTCAAATCCGGAAAATGACTTTTTCCCGCAAAACTATTTGGCCGCTCAGTTGCCTGCAAGCTTGCAGGAGTCGAAAATTGTTTTGACTGCCAAAGGGTGCCGATAAAAGTAGAGCAAGTTTATTGCCTTTCCCCATT